TTATTTATTAAAAAAAATATATAATACAGTGTGACACGGATATAAGAGACCCGGATATAAGAGAAACCCGGATATAAGAGAAACCCGGATATAAGAGAAAACCCGGATATAAGAGAGATTTTCTCTGGTCCCAAATTAGAGCCTGTGTTAATGTATATAAAATAGACCAAACCCGGATATAAGAGAAACCCGGATATAAGAGACTTCTTCTCCGGTCCCGACAACTCTCTTATATCCGGGTTACACTGTAAATGTATTATAATAAAAATTATGAAAATAAAAATATTAAAAATGATTTTAAAGATTTAAATAAATTCTAGAACCACTCTCATAATGCAGTGGAACCTCGGTTCCCGAATTTAATTCGTTCCTGAAGGCCGTTCGCAACCCGAAATGTTCGTAAACCGAAACTATTTTTCCAATAGAAATCAATATAGGGGAAAAAGTCGCAGTACAATGAAATTGGAAAAGAAAAGCACGCCACAACAAACGAATGTATACAACACGGCGGTCGACTCAGAAATTATTCTGTTCAGCTTAACTCGGTTCGGTAATGTTGTTCGAGAACCGAAATTTTGTTCGATAAACGAAGCATTTTCATCACGAATTTTCTGTTCGAAAACCAATTTGTTCGAAAAGTGAGACATTCGAGAACCGAGGTTGCTCTGTCCTGGTCTAATACTTACTGTATATCTACTTTTGCAGCTACCTGTATATATCTTTTATTTTTATTTCATAAGCCGATCAGCTGATCTTGTTCAATAAAAATAATATCGAAAATTAAAAAACAAAAATTGTATTTCGTTTTACTTAATAAATCAAACCTCTTTTTACGTAAGCCAATCTAAAAACGCCATGATGATTTATTTGAATTATCATAGTTGGTTAGCGTTAAATTTTATGGTGACTCTAATTCTCTGTGAAAGATATTTAATCTCTAGTAAAGAAAGTTAACCATATCTAATCTAAATCTATTTAACCCACAATATCTAATTCCCTGTTGATGATATTTAATAAGCTTAGCTTAATACCGCCCGAACACACGGATATCAAACTCCCAGTAAAGACGGAACTCACAACGGCAGTTTGCCAATTTCGATAGAATCTCGAACCTCGAAGAAACCATTTAAATCTAGTATCTGTCTATATTTCTGAGATGAGGTATTATGTACACTATTTACATTATTCGGACTATTGTCCTCATCTTCGTTGCCATATTTAACACAACGTTTCGGCCGTTGTACGTGGAACTTGAACAGTCTTGTAAAGACCACTATGTCCAACATACCCATGGGGTGGCTAGAAACACTTCAGGTCAAATGTTGTGTTTAAAAAAAAGTGATTAAATAAACGGTCGGACAAATATAAAGAATTTTTAAAATACGATATTTGATGGTACATAAGGTCCCCGAAATTCATTTACAATTAATATTACAGTATTTGTCTATATTTCTGAGATGAGGTGTTATGTACACTATTTACATTATTCGGACTATTGTCCTCATCTTTGTTGCCGTGTGTTCTCAAGGAGGACAGTGGATAAAGGCGTTAGTTAGATCCAGTGACAGGACCCAAGGAGAATGAGTTCAATACCTAGTTAAGGTAGTGGAGAACTTGGAGAGGGGGAATTAACAGGGGATAACTGATAACTGACATCCATTAGACATGGCACGTGGAACTAGAACAGTCTACCCCAGCGAGCGAAATAAAGGGTTCAGTTCGACATTCCGAACACCTGAAGAAGGCCGGAGCGTACAACGGCCGAGACGTTGTGATAAATATGGCAACAAAGATGAGGACAATAGTCCGAATAATGTAAATAGTGTATACCTAAATCTAGTTAAACGGCCGCAGTAGAAGAAAAGTTATTTATTTCGTCTCTTCAGTGTGATGACTTCGATCCTCACTGAGTTTTCCATGACAACGTTTGTGCTGGGTGAAGCACTACTTTTTTTGCTCACCTAATACAAGGCCAAAGAGCCCCTCAAGGCAGAGAGCTACTGTGTGGAGCTGTATGAGCGCAAGAAAGTTTTTGGGGCTAAGCAGGAAAGATAACGGCTATCTCTAAACTTGAAGAGGTCAAGATTTAAATAGTGAATAATTAGTGTTCGGTCGGAGACGTTAGTTGAAGTAGGATTTAGAAGGAACCAGATACCTAATCCTAAACAACAGAAAAATGATAAAGCTCTAATCCTGTTCAAAAGAGCGTGGAGGAGTGTGAACCGGACAATAGTACTTAGCAAATATTTGAGAGAATTTATTCTTTGCTTTGTGCTTCACTATTTTTATATTCGTTAGAATTTCGAACCGAAACCCCAAAGACACATGGCCCAATAGATAAAAACGTTGGCTGATTGATCCATGACTTGACTCAAAGAGTTGCGAGTTCAATCCATGGCCTCAGCGGAGAGAACAAAAACTTGGAGTGTTATCAAGGCGAATTAAGTAAAAGTGACATATCCAAAAACATGGTACGTGGAATTTGTGCAATCTACCCACGTGAACTGTATAAAGGGTTTCGATTCGAAATTCCAAAAAATTTCACCTGTAGAAGGCTGGAGCGTACAACGACTGAAACGTCGTGAATGTGACAGTTAAGATGACGATAACAGTCGAAACAATCTAAATATTGTAAACTGCATTGTGTTTTTTCAACTGTGTCTCTGTCTTCGATCGAAGCGCAACTCAAATGAGTCTCTGCCTATGGATAGAGGGAAACTGGAAACATTATCTGCCATTAGTTGTAATTCTGGGCTATTTTTGACCCTGGCCCGGGTGCACGCTCTCGGGCTCCTCATATTAAACTGACCTTGTGTCACATCCTGCCAGCGTGTGGCGGCCAAAAAAATGTCTAAAATAGTGGAGTGGTCTCCGTTGCTTTATCTACGGTTTTGAATTTCGAAGTTGGCATTTTTCTAGACTAACTATTCACTAATTATTATTAATACTATTATTTCTTTCCTCTCCTAATAGGAGTAGATAGGCTCGCCTATCTCCCGGTTCACACTTATCTCCCTTCTTTTGAAAAGGTATAGAGGTTTCCTGTTTAGGATATGATTACTTCCACGCTATACTTCTAAAAGCCCGAACTGAACGCTGAAATGTTAATCACTAATTAAATCTAAGATAACTCTTCGTCTAGAGTTGGCCGTTATCTTTCTTGCATAGCACCAAGAACTTCACTTCCTGCCAATTCTTACGCTCATACAATACCACACAGTAACACTATACCTTGAGTGGCTCTTGGGCCTTGTATTGGGTGAACATTAATAAAAAACGTATCCGTTTTGATCGCGAGAGGCATTTAATTTTAAGAAGTGGGTACAAAAAAATATCGCATTTATGATTGTTATTGCAATATTTTGTTGAAGTTGTTAAGCTCAAATATTTAACGATACGATAGGGGAATTTCTACGGATATTTTATTGCCGTAGAAGTCACCATGAGCTTTCTCAATCATTAACTTAAGAACTAACATTCATCAGAATATTAAAATAGGAAAAATATTTTCACGGGTTTAAAGTAATTATAATTTTGCTTTGCCTCTCCTTTAGTTTTTTTAATTAGTACGTACATACGTACGTATGTTAAACTCTGCCAATACCTCATAAATAATGGAGTAGGTAGGTTCGCCTATCGTCCGGTTCACACTCCTCCCAGATCTTTTGAACAGGACTAGAAGTCTATACCTTCTTTTCTGTTAAAGATTGGGATTCCGATTCCTTCTAAAGTTCCAACCGAACTTTTATTCACTAATTAAATCTTGATCACTCTAGAGCTAGCTATTATCTTTCCTGTATATCCCTCAAAACTCCACTTCTTGCCCTTTCTTACGCTCATACAAGATCACGCAGTAACCCTCTACCTTGAGTGGCTCTTGGATCTTGTATTGAGTGAACATTAGTAAAAAAAATACAGGGTGTTTCAAAAAATTTGATATCATTTCGCAATCTAATAACTTTGTTAGATCTCCTTCAAATGACTTCAGATTTTAATAGCATCTTTATGTTTAATGTTTGTTTTATGTTTTTATGTCTTTATGTTTTTGTGTTTTTTCTTATTTGTATTTTTATGTTCTTCAATCTTTAATCTTTTTCTTTACAGGTATAAAATGCTATTTACTAGAAGAGAAAAGGCGTTTTGTGTGTTGGAGTTTGCTAGAACACAGTCAAACAAGACTGTGCAGCGTGCATTTATGAGAGAGTTCTCTAGAAAGTCACCAACAGGAATGCAGATTTGGAGATGGCATAAAAAGTTCAAAGAGGAAGGCTGTCTGTGCAGAGCAAAAGGATCCGGACGACCACAAACTTCATATTTGTGAAATCGTTCACATAATCCACATGCTTTTGAATTTCTCATTCAGATTTGGAAGAATAAATCTTATGATCTTCAACATTAATACTTTTTAATTTCATTTGCCTTAATCATGTAATTTCTGTGATATTTACATCTCAAAGGATATCAAATTTTTTGAAACACCCTGTATATTAAAAAAATACTGATTGATGTCCTTAAGAAAGCATGACTATATTTCATGGTTTCTGTTCTATTACCAGATGTGCTGAAAATATATGGTGTCATTGGCTGCAAGTGACTGAGTAATTGCAGGGATAAATAGATTCATGCCTTTCTTTAGGTTGTTAGTGCTAAGTGGATATAAACAGTCTCTTACAGAATTCCAGGATTTTTAATCTATTATATGTCGTACTGTAATCTTTAATCTATTGTATCCCGTACGATATTCAAGTAATGATTTTAGGAGCCATAAATCGAATGTCTGTTCTTTTTCATACTTATTGTAGACGTATCGACCACGTACAATAGTGGAGGAAACTTCTACATGTAAGTACATTTCTTTAGATAATAACTGCAAGGTGGTTCTTTGATTTTCTTGTCAAAGAACGCGTTGTAAGAGAAGTTCCAGTTGTGAATCTGAGATAGAAAACAGATGTTGATTTTACGGAGAAGGATTTATTTTCTTTTGGTTTTTCTTCCCCAAG